ATTACATGTATTTTAAAAGATTTCCTCCAGGATTAGCAGCCCTGGGATTTGCAGCCATGTGTTTAAATTTGTGGATGCAACCGAAGTTCAGACTAGGGAAAAAAAAACCTGGTTCTTCGCTCAGCTCCTTGGGCCACCCTTGCAAGCACGTGCAGCCAGATCCCAAAGCAAAGGAAGGAGACCTGGCTCTGCTGCAGGCAGCGGCAGTGATTTACAGCACTGCGGCTTATCATCCACATCGCTCTCATTCAAAATTAGTCCCTGCTTGCACAACTCCTCATTTCCTGCTTACCACGTAGGCTCAGATATGATTTATAAGGTCTCTTTCTATGTTTTCTAATGGCCTCAGAGAAAAGAAGTTATGCAAACTTGCAATTCCTCGGCAGGACCATAGCAGAACTCCAGGCGCTTTTTGCCACAAAGCCAAAAAAAACCCCAACCTTCAGAACATCATAAGTCAGCAGTATTAATGAACTTGCACGTTAAGAAAAACTTGAACAATTTACCAGGAACATCTAGTTCACTTTACAAAATTTGCCAGGCTATTTGTTTTGAGCCAAACATCACAAGTCATAAGTAGTTCTTTTCTTTTAGGAGTCTACATCAACACAATTAGAGAAAATTTAAACTGAAATGGGTAAATGCTGCCTCAGGGAATGAAATTCTTGGTCTTCAGTTCTTGTTAGAGGTAGTGGAAGTTGGGCGCCAACGTCCCTTGGGCAATGCAGCAAAACTCCGCTTCAGAGATTCAGACGCCTCTTCCAATTCATCCTGTGCATTCACAATCAGAAACCCAGAAAACAGACTTGAGTCTCCCCTGCCTATAAATGGGGGTTAGATCACATCAGAAATATTCTCTCTCCCAAAAAATTTACTTATTTGTTAAATAGCAAACAGATATAGGTCTAAAACATAGTGACACCTGTAAGAGGGGAAAAATATCACAATCATGTGTAAATTAAAAACTTTCCTCTAAACAAACGATTAGGTTCAGGGTTTAAAGATTGTTACCCCATAAAGGAACTCAGGAAGGTCAGGAATAGCAAACAGGCTGGTAGCAGAGTGTAGCTCCAAAACAGCAAAATTTTGGCAGCCCCCATGCTTGTCTCAAAGGAAGCCAAGTGGAATACTCATGGAAACCAGGAGCAATAAGCTCTGCAGTATGTTGGACTTCCACAGAAACTATGTTGGGAGGTCTACACACTTTGAAAACTCAAGGAATGTTGACTCCACAGACCTTTCCAGACATGGAGATCAGCTGCTGCATTTCTCCGACAAAGTCCTGTTTATTGGCACAAAACCAAGCACGACATGCTTGCATGTGCACTCAAGCACTTGGCACACTTGGATTCCAGCATAAACTCAGGCCCATGCTCAACTTTTACCTTCACTATCTCATGCAACCCAAGCAGTTGGTCATGGACAAGGAGAACTAATATAGCTAGATGTCATTTCTGAGTTGTGCCCCTTCTCTGAAAACCATTTTTTCCCATGTCACTTAAAACTATGCATTTACTTAATAGAGCTAAACACTTTGCAAGTGCATTTAATTGTATCTAAAATTAGCAGACTTTAAAGCACCGAACTTCAACCTCTACAAAGTAATGCAGAAACTGACCTGGAACTGCTCAAAACTCTTTTGCAATTGTGATTTGCTATGATTCCTGGGAGACCTAAGACCTTGCCAATACTTAAGATGAAGGACTAGCCTGAGAAGAAACGGTTTATACACAGTGCCTCCTCTTCCAATATTCCCATCGCATGCACCTCGTCAGCTCCTGTCCACCTACATTAGGATATAAGTGACGAGCTTAGTTTTGGCATCAGCGAGAGCACAGTAATTGCCATAATGAACGAGACTGGAACCCCTCTAGCACAAGCTTCTGCCTCTGACTGTGAACAGCCCTGGAGGCATCGCAGAAAGGTGCAAGTTGAACTTCGTCTTGGCTCATGCCCACAAAGTTGTCAGCCAAGTTCTGAATGCCAGAGCTTCCTTACTGATGACTGACAAATGTGATAAAAAGAACTTGGTTCGAACTTTCAAAGCTGGCAGGGGGGAAAGAAAGCGTCAGGATTTTCAGTCGACAACAGGTTTTAGATGCCTCTATTTCCAGATGCCTGATTTGAGACGCCATAACCATGCCCAATCTTGTTTTCTGCCAGGCTGTTCCCCATTCTTCTTCTGCATCTTCCAAAATGGGCACCCCAAATCCTTCATCATTTTTAGGAAATTTCCACTCCCCACTTTTTGACACCTAAGTAAGACTGAATCTTCAGCAACAACATTGAAACCAGCGTTACAGACTTCCCCAGTTCAAAAGGGCCAAGCTGAACTTCATTTTCAGACCAAAACAGCTCATCTGAAAAGTCAAACGGCTCCCACTTCTAGATCAGAAGCAATCTCCTCAGGCAAGCCTCTTAGCTGTGGTTTTGCTTTATTTTATTTTTCCTTCACCTCTGGGAAAGAAAAGGTTGCACTGAAAATCTTTAGGAGCAGGGACCTGCACTATTACTGCACAGCACGACCAGGGCTTCTCAGTACAGCAGTGCAAGCCATTACAACACACTCATTTTAAGCAGCAAAAAAGCAACTCTGAATCATCACAGTACCTGCAAAAGCCTTTAAGGACCAAGCAAGATGTCAAGCAAGAATATTCAAACAAAGAGCTGGCAGTTTAACACGAGTGCCCAGTCAGAGCATCCATTTCAGGAAGCACTGGTTGATCCTCATAGAAGACAATTGCAAACATCACCCATACAGAAGCCAAAAGGCTTCTCCAGGATTTCAGACAGTGTCCCCAATTGCCAGAGGAGACACATGTGTGCGCACTTACACACAGGAAATGTGGCAAAAAAAAAAAAAAAAAAACAGACCTTTCTTGACAAATCCCTTCCAAATGGGTTCTGGTCCTACAGAGAGGCAGGTCCTTCTGCAAGAGCCATGCAGGACAAAGCAGCTGCCAACTTCAAATGGAAATACTCCTCCAGCTGCAAAGTGTGGGAGGAACAAGCACGATTGCTTTCCTCATCTGTGTTGCTCTTGCTGACCTGCATATGCTCAAAAAGATGTCAAAAATCCCCAAAGTCAGTAGTAAAGTCCCCACTACTTCTGCCTGCACGGTGTGGTAGGAAACACCCCTATTTCTCTGCAATCCAGGGAATCTCTGACTCTGGGAGGAAGACTTTTACTCAGGTATAAAATCCACTCCGAGGAGGGATGAGGACTCAAGGCTACCCATGCTGTTGCAAGTCCAACATTCCCTCGCTAGGCACAGCTTGTTTGTGAGGAGGACACCTTGGAAAGGGACTGTCACTCATGTCACGATGCAGCTCCAAAACAAGCCCAGTCACACAAAGGCATTTGAGACATTCTAGCTACAGTTGGGGCTACTTTGGGCATGATACCCTACGGAATGAGGGCTGACCAAGGCGATGGGGACACGACCGCATTCGCTGGTCCTCTACAGCAGGAGTGTTTGACGCTTTGTGAAGACACGGAGCTTGACAGAAAATCCCAGGACTCTCACAACTGCTCCGAGGCCTAACGTCATATTAGTGCCAGTGCGGTGGTCCTGCATGGGGCCTGCTGTGCAGAGAAATGAGGAATATGAGATTGTGCCGCACTCTAAGATCCTAGGGGTCAACAGCAATCCAATTTATCAGAGGGAAGGGCAATGACTCGAGACAGCGCAGCAGAAAAAGAGAAGATAAGACTCAATTTGGTGCCCTCACTGATGCAAAGGCCACAGTATGAGCTGAACTGAACGATTAAACACTAGATAATCCAGAGAGGAGACACGTATTAGCGATGCTCTCACCATGGGAAAAGCTTCAGCGCCTGTGCCTTATTAGCTAGAGTTTGACCCAAACGCAAGGCAGGCATCGCTCAAAGTGATGCTCCCTAAACTTGTAACTGCTTTTCTTTCCCGTCGACACCAGCACCCTGCTTTGGAGCTGCATCTTGCTGACACAGATGTACCGGTTGCCTTGGGCTCAGCTTCAGCTCTGTTCGGAGCCAGTGCAGTCGGTTGCTTTCACACCTCTGTAGCTCCAAGGCCAAAGATTTTAAAGCATCTTCGAGTCACAGAAATCCTCCAGAAGTGCTTGTTTTTCAGCAAAGTAGCCCCTAAACAGACCACGACTACACACAGCTGACCCAAGGTGCATCCTCAGGGCTCAATTCCATCAAGAACAGAGAGCTCTCAATAGCCCCCAAATAATATTGTTCCCACTTGTTTTGCCACATAATACATCCTGGTATCATCTCTGCTCTTCCTGCTTTTCTTCTATTCTTGCAATTTTCTCTCTGGGTTCTCCAGCAACCTGCCAACATCTCCACCACAGAATCCCCAACGGCCTCCATGACCTCTAAATGGTGCTGAGATTAATTTTCCTTGCATGGGAAGTGAGGAACAGCGTTGTTGCACCTTGTGAAGAAACGGACTCAGTCTGGGGTGCAGAGTGAGACAACTTTATTTCCAAACCAACTTCTTTTTATACTTTCTTAACACAAGTGTTGCAAAGCTCACAACCAATCAGCATCTGGCCACCTGCGCGGTTGTCTGGCTTTGTTTCTTTTCTTCTGGCAAGACACGTCGCACACGGGGCAGGGGGAGGTGTTCCTCAGTCCTCGTCTTTCTCGGCTCTGTCCCCCATCTGCTGCAAAGACTGACACCCTTGTGGTTAACTATCTGCTAACAAGGTACTATTGTCTTTGAACAAGCCTCCAAACAGTGTCTTAAAATGGCTTTACAAAATGGTTCAAAATCACTCAGATAAACCTGTTAAGCAACAACACTCTCGCTGCACCAACTAATCTTGCTGTTAAAATTTCAGCCCCTTCGGGGACTGGAACCAAACAAAACCATTTAGCAAAAGTAGCTAAAGCTCGACAGGACCTGGACGATTCTCATCAGTGCCTCAAAAAACTACCTATTTCCCAAAAAAAAA